TAATTAATTTCGTTTTTAATATTTTAGGTTATAAAATCAACCTTTTTCAAAACCTTGCTTGAGCTACTATCCTACAACTACCTTGTTCTCTTGCAAGTACTTTTAAGTGTTTTTATCCCTACTTTTATTGGTGGTAAAAATCCTACCAAGTTGCGACCAACTAAATCATTATCATAATTTTGTTGGTTAACAGTTGATCAAAGAATGTATGGTCATTTAGGCCCATTACCATCTTGCATAACAATTTTTGGAAAATCTGTTTCGTAAATGAAAACCAGAAATAGGAATTTCAATTTTTATGATTAGAGAATGCTTTAGACAGTTAATTTGGTAATGAAAAATAGTGAAAATGTGTCTGGTACCAATATCTAAAAGTCAAGATATATAAATTTGTGTGATAGTAATGGTGGTCGTGGTGGTTGAGAAAAGAGTGGTGTTGGTAACAATGGTGGTTGGAGTGGTGGTAGTGGTGAGGGTAATGGGGTGGAGATGGTGAAGATGGTGGAGTGGTGGTGGCAACGGTGAAGGTAATGGATTGAAGAATGTATTGATGGTGGTGGTTGTGGTGGTGGCGGTTGTGGTGGTGGTGGTGGTAATGGCAGTTGTAGTGGTGAGACAATATAGGTGGTGATGGCGATGTAAAATATGGTAGTGGTGGCAGTGATGGTGGCGACGGTCATGGAAAGACGGTGGTGGTGGTGTTGTTCATTGTGGTGATGGTGAGACGGTGGATGTTGTTGTGGCATGGTGATGGCGGTGGAGGATATGGTGGTGTCAGTGATGGTGGCATCAAAGATGGTCATGGTGGTGGTGATGATGATTGTGGGATGGTGGAGAAGGTTGTGTGGTGGCGGTGGTGGTGGTGGTGGTGGTATACATAATTTTATTTACTAAACTCTAACTTTGTTTTATAATGTATGTTTTATGTTCTATTATTTTGAAAATTATTCTTGAAAGACAGAGGAAACATCAATTTAATGTTATACAGAACTTAGGCTAAATATTGTTTTGAGTTCATTTTTACAAAACAGTATGTCAAATATTTTTTCCACGTTTTTTGTATCTGCAAAACGAAAAATTGTGTTTAAAGCGTTAATGAACGAGCCATCACTTTTGGGTTTGATATCAAAGGTGGGGAAATGGATGTGATTTTCGTGTCATTCCTAATCTTATCCTTTCTCGTGTACCTGCGCACCCAACGAAGCATTCTCATCTCTGCTACACCTATTTTACGTACGTGTTGATGCTTCACCACCCAACATTCTGTGCCATAAAGCATTACTGGCCTTATTGTCGTCCTATAAAATTTTCCCTTGAGCTTCAGTGGCATACGACGGTCACACAACAAACCGGATGCACTTTTTCACTTCATCCATCCAGCTTGTATTTTATGGCTGAGGTCTTCATCTAACTCTTCGTTCTTTTACAAGATAAATCCTAGGTAGCGAAAACTATCGCTCTTTGGTACTTCCTGATCTCTAATCCTCACTCCTAACTCATTTGAGCTTCTGCTTGCATTGAACTTACACTCCATATACTCTATCTTTGATTGACTTAGGAGAAGACCTTTAGATTCCAACACTTCTCTCCAAAGGTTAAGAGCTTCTGCTTGCATTGAACTTACACTCCATATACTCTATCTTTGACCGACTTAGGAGAAGACCTTTAGATTACAACACTTCTCTCCAAAGGTTAAGCTTCGTATTTACTCCTTGTAGTGTCCCACATAACTTAGGAGAGATGATCATCTATGCCGTATATGTACATGCTCACCTCTCATTGCAAGACGCATTTTGGGAACTTACTGGCTTCGGATCCCATAAGAACTCTGAAGTTAAATGAGTTTGGGCGAGAGCAGTCCTAGGATAGGTGAACCCTTGAGAAGTTTTTGTGCTGAAACCCAAGAACAAATCCGTAAAGGCGTGGCATAAAGCGGACAATATCTTACTATGTGGACTGGGATGTGACAATTTGATATCATAGCCACTCCTTGCCCGAAAGTGTGCCGATGAGGACATCGAGTCCCTAAAGGGGGTGGACTGTAGTGTCCAACATTGCCCACGGAAGAGAATCCTTTATGCCTTATATGTACATGCTCAGCTCCCATTGCAATACACGTTTTGGGAACTCACTAGCTTCAGATCCCATAAGAACTCCGAAGTTAAGTGAGTTTGGGCGGGAGTAGTCCTAGGATGGATGACCCCCTAGAAAGTTCTCGTGCCGAAACCCAAGAACAAATCGTGAGGGCGTGGCCCAAAGCGGGCAATATCTTGTTATGCAGACTGGGATGTAACACTCATTCTTAAGTTTCATCTATCAGCACTATATCATCTGCGCAAAGCATACACCAAGGAATATCATCTTGAATATGTCTTGTTAACTTATCCATTACTAATGCAAAAAGGGTAATGACTTAAAGATGAGTCTTGATGTAAGCTTACATTTATAGGGAAGCTTTCAGTTTATCCTTCATGAGTTCTTACAACAGTCCTTACTTTATCATACATATCTTTTATAGCTTGGATATATGTTCCTCGTACTTTTTTTTTTCTCTAAAATCCTCCAAAGAATGTCTCTTGGGACCCTATCATTAGACGTGTAAATGGGTCGAGTTTAATGGGTTTGGGTCAGGTTGAACCAGACCCATTAATTTAATGGGTCACCTGAACCCAACCAGTTAAGCTAACGAGTCACCCAAACCCAACTCGTTAATCAAATAAGTCACCCGTTAACAATTTTTTTTTTTTAACATTTTGAATTCCAATACAAATTACACATCTTTTAACCAAAATTACAGACATTAACTAACATCCTATATATATATAGGGAATTGTTATTAGCATTCCAAAAATCACATTCTACACTCCTCATAAGTGTATTTTTCTTTCTAATTATAGAAAGTTTGAAGTGCTAAATGAGATTTTTGAAGTGCTAATACAATTTCCTATATATATATATATATATATATATATATATATCAAAGTGAAAGCGTTTTTAAGCATAGAAAGTATTAATAGCCTTGCCAATATCATGAACGCAAGAGTACCTCCTGATCATGATCAAGAGAGTGTGAGTAGTGTCAAACTTTCCCAATCATTGCAAACGCATGAAAGAACCGCTACCACCAGCTCTGACGAGGCTGCTATGCCGCATTGATCGAGCTTCCTCTTCATCTCAGAGCCCAACGACTCGCTCCGTAAACTTAAGATGTTGACAATGCTTTTCACATCTCGAGAAAGACCCGAATCCAAGACTCCCAACTCATATCATCATCTTCTTCTGTGTTTAGGTTTGCGTAAAAGCTAAAAAGCTAGTTTTTCAAAGCTGCCTTTTGCTGCTTCTGTTTTTTGGCTTTTTTCACCTAAAACTATGAAAAAAAGCTAAAGTTGGAAGTTTACCAAACACCAAAAACTTTCCTAGCTTTTTTCATACCAACTTTTTTTAAAATCACCTGAACCCCAAACCATACCTAAAACTAATAGCATTAAACTCACGTGCATTTAGTCTCTAGCCTCTCAAGAGTATAAGCCCAATCCTAAAAGAACGAAAAATATAGATAGCCTACCCAATTGAAAATTCTTGACTCCGCTCTTGTGAGCAGGACTGCTTCTGTGCTCATTTGTTAAAATATGCATCCACTCAACAAAATCATAATCCTTGACTTAATGAATCATAAAGCACATAACTTTACCTACTAAATCGACATCCACAAGAGTTTCCTACACTCGCAAAATACCCTTATGAACTAACAATCCAGAATTACCACACAAACCAAGAAATTAAATTACTTTCCACACACGCGCACAGTGATAAATACAAATCAGTCAGAATATAACACATTATTGAACACAAACAAAGAAAAAAGGGTTTTAGCCTTTTTAGAGAGAGAAACTAGAGAGAGAGAGAGAGAGAGAGAGAGAGAGAGAGAGAGAGAGAGGAGGTTGTGTCTTGTCGTGTAACTTGCAAGTTGCAACAGGTTTTTTATTTTTGCTCTTTTGATTGTTTGTTTTGGTGAAGTGATTTTTTTTCTTACGATTTTTAATTTTAATTTTATTTGTTTTATGATTTTGTTTTCGCTTTTTGTGAGCTAGAACATTTTAGGATAAAATGATACCGGTTTTATTGTATTATTGAGGTCTTCAATTCAAAGAAGTTTCTAACAAAACTAAGAGGTCATTGGCCTAAACTAGTTATAATTGTAAAAGTAGATTTGAGAACGAGGCAAGTTCGAGAATAAGCAAAGAAATGCACCAAAATCTTAAAATCTTTCACACTCAAACTTACATTATAAAGTCAAAGGAATTCCGATGAAAAAGTCAAACACTTTACATTTGTGAAAATCTATGTACACAATCTTGAATATAGCGAATGGGATGACACTCATCGATAATGAGTAACATCGACTCCAGCAACAAATATATTGTTTCAACAAAATAGACCTAGGAGAAGCTAGTAACACACCGATTCAAAATTAAAATGTTCATTAAGAAATACTCACAAATAATCTCACCAAGAAGGCATTTATTAACGAAAAAGAAAAAATAAGACAAAAAATAGATATGCAGCAAGGCATAGGAAAATTAAGTTGGAAGGCTTGAAAATTGGGGAGGACTGTCATTGGAGGATAAAATTGATGAGTTTGAAACTTAAAGAATCAAATTGATAACTTGTTAAAAACATAAGACAATCTTCAAAAGAGATGTCAAATATGTCAAATAGAATTAAAAGATATTTAGGTAATCTTCAATGGATATGTTATATATGATGTGGCATGTGAATTATTTGACTCCTTACTTTCTAGTTGCCTTTTTTACAGCAAACAAAAAATGAGTCAAATATATTTAATTAAAAATTTTAATATATCAGTCTCATTAACAACCAATAGGATAAAAACTACAATGAATTTTGATTATTTTTTAATAATTAATGTAACTCTACATCTAATAAAATAATAAAATAAATATTTCACATATCCATGGAATAAAAGAGATTTTGGCACTCGTAAGGAAAAAAAAAACATGAAATGCTAAAACCCTTTGCGCGGAAGAGCCGGCGAGGTTTTGGATTTTCCACCTCAAATTGATCGGTGCCGGCGGCGTCAAACATGGCAGCCCTCTTCAACCTGAAGGCGGGCAGATTGGGTTATTCACTTTTTTCCAAAACTAAAAGATTTGTTGGTAGGGTTGGGGATCTAAAACCCTCGCATTTTCCTCTTCAAAATCTGCTACTGTGCAGACATTTCGCCTCAAAACTCTCAGAAACCCACCACGATTCCACAGTCAATTACCTCATAAACTCATGTGGGTTGTCCCCAGAAGGTGCGATTTTAGCTTCTAAGTGGGTCAAGTTGCGATCTTCCAAAAGAGCAGACTCCGTTTTGTCCTTTCTCAGAAACCATGGATTCTCTAAGACCCAGATCTCCAAGATGGTGAGGACGTACCCACACTTTCTTAACTCCAATCCGGAGAAAACCCTTTTGCCGAAGCTTGAGTTTTTCACTTCGCTTGGAGTTTCAGAGGAGGACCTTGCAACAACTGTGGAGCATGAACCGATGCTTTTGGCAAGAAGCTTGGAGAAACAGATTCTACCCACTTACAATTTCCTCAGGAGGATGATTTCTGGGGGAAAAATTGCTTCAGTTTTCAGGAACTGCTCGCGGGTTTTCTTGGAAGGCCACTCTAAGAATGTTGAGCCAAATATTGGGATCTTAAGAGAATCAGGTATGCCCCAATCATGTATTTCTCTGTTGGTAGCTCATTTTACCCAGGCTTTGATGCAAAACCGTAAAAAGTTTGCTCAAGTTGTGGGTGAGGTCAAGCAAATGGGTTTTGATATGGAAAAATCAATGTCTGTGATGGCTATAAAAGCTTTGAGTAGTGCCAATAGTAAGTCCATATGGACTCGAAATTGCGAAGTTTATAAGAGGTGGGGTTGGTCTGACGATGATGTTCTCTCTGCTTTCAAGCGGTACCCATGTTGTATGACCAAGTCGGAGAAGAAAATAATGCAAGTCATGGAATTTGTAGTGAACAAGATGGAATTGTCGTCGCAAATGATTCTTAAAGCCCCTGTGACCATGGGTTACAGTTTGGAGAAGAGAATTATCCCAAGGTTTTCGGTTGTGAAAGTTTTGATGTTGAAGGGATTAATGGATGAAAACAGGAATCTAGGTTCGGTGTTGTGTTCTACGGAGAAGCAATTTTTGGAGAGATTTGTGACCAGATATCGAACTGAAGTCCCTCAACTGTCGAGTGTGTACCAAGGGAAAGCTGCAATTCAGGATGTATGAGTACAGATGAAAATTGGAGAGATTGCAAATTCCAGCCACTTGATGCAGCACCACAACTGGTTGCAGCTTTGGCATTGTATTTTAAGGGTATGTCTTGTATACTAAAAACTATTCCCTTAAACAATGTTCTAATTACATACGAGTGTGACGTGCAATTCAGCTTCTCTTATTTGACAACCATCGTTGATTGTGGTGTGGTTCAATTCAATCTATTACGAAGTGCAGTGAATAAAACTAAAAATTTCATTTGGTTTTTGATCGGTTAATGCCAACAGCAAACAGTATGCGTGCTTGTGTGCATTGGTTTTACATTTCAATGTGTCTGTGTCTAAGATATCAATGGTGGTCTGCAGTATAGTGTCCTCCGCAGGCGGCTAGCCTTTTGCAGTCGCTATGGCTGGGTTAGTATCATCCTGTCATTACTATTCCCCTTCATCGGACTTTTGCATAAGGAAGGGGGCGGCAATTTAAGTAACGCTTGTCTTATTAAAAAAGCAATGCAGTGGTTGTGGCTACTGTTTGGGTTCTTCAGGGGACACAAGATTGAGCTGATCTGATTTGTAATGTTGAGCCGCTTGGCTACTGTTATCTGTGCGGATGAGTGAATCCATGTGAAAGCCCTTGGTGGTTCTTTTTAAACGTATGTCACCATGTATTGCATTCGGTACTGCAGGCGATGAGGGAAGAATTGCTTGTATATGATTTTCCTGCTGTTATCCTGTCAACACTGCAAACCCTCGTTAGTCGCACCATGTAAGCATACATTGTTCCCTTGCTTTATTATGTTAAGGAGAATGATGGTTGTTTTGTTCTCTATTTTATGTGGATTAAGGTTTGACATGGATAGACTGCTGACATAGGTAACGCCGGTTGTTCTGTTCTCTTTTCTAAAACATTTGATTGCCAGAAATAACAATAAGCTCTTATAGTAAGATCATTTGCTGCCAGAAATAACAATCCTTGACCTGGAAATCTAACCCTTCCACATGGCTACTTATTTTCCTCCAAATTACAAATTAAAGAACGAACGGGCGCGCCCACACATATATTGCACAGAGTTGCAAGTTTTTTCATTCCTTCATTGCCGCAATAGATTAGATCGAATGCCAATAGAAGCAACATATGCGTACAATCTATCGAAGACAATTCCCAGACGAACAAAGTCATGAACAATCAATCTTAAGTTGAAAGCACAACAATCACATGGAGAGGAGCAGGTCAAATCTCAGGTTCATTTCAGATAAGAAAGTAGATATATAACTAAAGTAGCTAGACAGTGAAATGCTAAGACAAACAAATAATTAACAACTGAATTCATTTCTAGAGAAATATAAAACACTAGTTAAAAGTTAGCTGCTACCAATGGAAATGAACAATATCTAACCTCGTTTGACCTACATACATCATACATCCTGGACTGCAACTCTTCCTTGATACACACTCAATAACTGAGGTACTTCCTCTATGTATCTGGCCACAAACCTCTCCAAGAAGCACTTATCCGCAGGCTCCAACAAAGAACGCAAACCCACATTTTCAATTCCGTTTATCAGTCCTTTCAGCAACAAAACTTTAACAACTGAACACCTTGGAACCAACCTCTTCTCGAAACTGAAACAAAGGACCAGTGGGGTTTTCACAATCGTTTTCGAAGACCACCCCATCTCTTTCACTAAAAACTCCAGTGTTCGCATTAATTTCTTCTCTGAGACAATCATACACTGCGGCTGCATCTTGAACGCAGAGAGAACATCATCCTCAGACCAACCCCACCTCTTATAAACCTCGTGACATCGATTCCATACAGACCTATTGCTACCGCCCAATGCGTGTATTGCCTTCACCGAAGTGGAGTTTTGTAGATCAAAACCCATTTGCTTAACCTCATCCACAAGTTCACCAAGCTCTTTAAGCTTCAATTGTAATGTGTTGGGATGATAAGTAAGCAACAGAGAAATGCTGGATTGGGGCATACCTAATTTTTTCAAAACCTCGATCTTTGGCGCAACATTCTTGGAGTGGCCTTCTGCGAATATCCAGGAGCCGCGCCTTAAAACGAAAACGACATTTTTCTGAGAAAGCAGACTCCTAAGGAAATCATAAGTTGGTGCAATCCGGTTATCCAAGCTCAGAGACAAAAGCTTCGGTTCAAATGCCAGAGTTTTTGCAAGGTGCTCCTTTGAAACTCCAATAGAAGCGAAAAACTCGAGCTTTGGCAAAAGGGTTTTCTCCGGACTGGACTTAAGAAGTTTTGGGTGTGCCCTGACCATCTTGGAGATCTGGGTCTCAGAGAATCCATGGTTTCTGAGAAAGGACAAAACGGAGTCTGCCGTTTTAGGGGATCGCAACTTGACCCACTTAGATGATAAAATCGCACCTTCTGGGGACAGCCCACATGAGTTTATGAGGTAATTGACTGTGAAATCGTGGTGGGTTTCTGAGATTTCTGAGGTGAAATGTCTGCAGAGTAGCAGATTTTGAAGAGGAAAATGTGAGGGTTTTGCATCTCCAACAACCAATCGTTCAAATGTGGAAGCAACTACGCTGGAAGAAGAAGATTGCGGGTAACCCAATCTGAGGAGGGTGACTGCCTTCAATTTGTAGAGCCCCACCATGTCAACAGCCGACCAATTTCAAAATTTAATTGGGTTGGTGGTTTGTGGTTTGATCGGGGAAGATGGGTTTTTGGCTCCTTATTTTCCATTTTGCTTCAATACTGCGCCGAATAGGATGCTACGCAATTGAAGAGGCTTGAGAGCCGTTGGATTGCCATTCAATCCAATCCACGGCTGTCCTATTTTTCCCTAAGACTTTTCGTAGCAGACCGAACAAATTGGTCACTTCTCCTCTCTCTCTCCTATCATCTCACCTCCACTCTTGTCTTTTAATCACATTTATTTTCTGAAGTTGGTTTTGTCTAATTTGTCATTTTTGTGCCATTTGATGCTAGGTCACTTCTAAGTGAGAAATCTTAGTTTCGAATCTTGTCAAAAGTGAATTTGAACTATTTTTAACACAACTCTTTACCCACAATCTATAAACAATCCCAATTCTATTTTTGACAACAGTAGTTCAAATCTCCGTCCGTCTTTGTCAAAAATGTAATGCACTTGCTACTTAATTTAACGTCTATTTGATGGAATGGACGAAAATAGTGTGAATCAAGACTGAACAAGACCAAAATGACAGTTTCAAAGAATAAAATAAGACCAAATGACAGTTTCAAAGGCAAATCATGAAACTAGACAAATTACGTCAAAATATGCGTACATTCTATGTACTTGGAGTTTCCGTCAAAATATGCCACAGGAAACTGGACAACTTCAGCTGCACTGCCACTGCTAGTTCCCTACCCCCTTACACACACACACATATTGCACAGAGTTGCAAGTTTTTTCATTCCTTCATCGCCACAACAGATTAAGATTGAACGCCAATGGAAGCAACATATGTGTACATTCTATCGAAGGCGATTCCCATACGAACAAAGTAAAAAAAAATCAATCAATCTTAAAGTTGAAAGCACCACAATCACAGAGAGGAGCAGGTCAAATCTCAATGAATTCATTTCTAGAGAAATATTAAACACTAGTTAAGAACACAAACTTACAATGCTGAGCCAAAAGTTAGCTGCTACCAATGGAATTGAACAGAACTGCATCTACGATACTACATCAAGGCGTCTCAAGTTATAACGAGAATCTAACCTCTTTTGACCTACGAACATCATACATCCTGGACTTCAACTCTTCCATGATACACACTCAATAACTGAGCAACTTCATCTATATATCTGGCCACAAACCTCTCCAAGAAGCACTTCTCCGGAGGCACCAATACAGAACACAAACTCACATTTTCAATCCCGTTTATCAATCCTTTCAGCAACAAAACTTTAACAACTGTACACCGGGGTATAAATCTCTTCTCCAAACTGTAACACGTGACACTGGTGATTTCGCAATCATTACTGACGGCCATCCCATCTTTTTCACTAAAAACTCCATTGTTAGAATTAGTTTCTTCTCGGACACCATCATACAAGGGGTATCGCTTGAAAGCAGAGAGAACATCATCCTCAGACCAACCCCATCTCTTATAAACTTCGCAACTTCAACTCCAATTAGACCTAGTGGTAGCACACAATGCGTTTATTGCCATCACAGAAGTTGATTTTTGCAGGTTAAAACACATTTGCTTAACCTGACCAAGATCTTTAGGCCTTAGTATTAAAGCGATGAGGTGACAAGTAAGCAACACAGAAATGCAGTGCTGGGGCATACCTGATAACCCAATAAATCCTAAGAAGAACAACCCTAAAACTCAAAAAAGACATGGATGAATATCCAGAAAACTCAAAGGCTCAAAGGTTGAAGCTCGTTCTGCTTTCCTTCATTTCAAGAGAGAGAGTCTGGTATTTTTCTACAGATTTGTGTGAGAGTTATATAGAGACCTTTTTGTAGTATTTGGATTGTTTGTGGTTGAGATGGATCGACCTTGCAGGTCGTAACGGATCTCAGGAAGGGAGGAAGGGGAGTTGCTCTGACGGAGAGAAGAAGAGAGACAGAAAAGGAACTTGGCCAAGCAGAGTCGGACTAATAATACATCGATTTTGGGGAGGATAATTAGCCGGGTGCGAGGAGTACCAAAGTGGTGGGGTTGGATATCTAGTCCGGGTACTATTTAATATGTTAGAGCACCAAACACCTGACTCCGTATTATTAGTACTATCCGGTTCTATATACGATGTACCAAACGAGGCCTAATATTTGGCGCCACCTTCTTGGAGAGGCCTTCAGCAAAAATACAGGAGCCGCACCTTAAAACGGAAACGACCTTTTTCTGAGAAGGCATACTCCTAAGGAAATCATAAGTGGGTATAATCCGTTTCTCCAAGCTCATAGCCAAAGGCTTCGGTTCATATTGCAGTATTGTTGCAAGGTCCTTCTTTGAAACTCCAAACGAAGCGAAAAACTCAAGCTTTGGCAAAAGGATTTTCTCCGGATGCAATTGGAGAAGATGTGATACGGCATTTTCTTCCAAATTTCATTGCTTTCCAGACTTAATCCTAGATTGGATATGGCATTTTCGTCTTATTTAGACTCAATTTGCACCATTTTCGTCCATTCCATCAAACAGACGTTTAAGTAAAAGAGAGCATGGGCATTTCATTTTTGACACAACTCTTTGCCCTCAATCTGTCTGCTAAAACAATCCCAAGTTTATTTTTGACAACTGTAGTTCAAATCCCCATCCGTCTTTGTTGTGGATCGGTACACAGCAGTTAATGTCGAAGCATCGACTAGATATTGATCATATGAACCACATGACGAGGATAGATGAGTAATGTGGCTCAATACCATAGTGATAGATGGGGATATGCTGCAGACGTATTTCATGATTTGTGGGGATAGATGAGCAGATATTGTCATATATGAATGACACAACAAGTTGTGTCAAAAACGAAATGCACTTGCTCCTTAAATTTAACATCTATTTGACAGAATGAACAAAAATTGGATGAACTCAAACAAAATAAGAGGAATGCTCGCCAAGAAGCACTGAAGTCTGCACTCGAGCAGTAAGGTACAAAATTTAAACAAACGACGTGTTTGTATGGCTTCCAGTGTGATAAAGATCTGCGGATGCCAGTCATCTTATAATATGAAAGATAGTGAGCCAAAAGCAGTGCTGCATCTACATCAAGGGGGCTAAAATTGTTATATTACCAACACTTCAACTTTTCCTTTATATATACACTATATATTTGAGGTACATCACCTACATATCCCGACACAAACCTCGCCAAGACGTCCTCTACATTTTCAATCTCATTCATCAATCCTTTCAACAACAAAACCTAAACAACGGAACACTTTGGAATCAATCTCTTCTCGAAACGGAAGCGGAAATGGAGGACCACTGGCAATAATTTCAGATAAGACAGTGAAACCCTATATATAACTAAAGTAGCTAGACAGTGAAATCCTAAGACAAACAATAATTAACAGCTGAATTCAATTCTATAGAAACATGTTAAGGACACAAACTTACAATGCTGAGCCAAAAGTTGGCTGCTACCAATGGAAATGAACAGCACTGCTTCTACGATACTACACCAAGGCGTCTAAAACTATAACAATATCTAACCTCATTTGACCAGCGAACATCATACATCGTGAACTTCAACTCTTCCTTGATACACACCCAATAATTAAGGAACTTCATTTGTATATCTGACCACAACCTCTCCAAGAAGCACTTCTCCGGAGGCACCAACACAGAACCCAAACTCAAATGTTCAGTCCCGTGTATCAATCCTTTCAACAACAAAACTTTAACAACTGAACACCTTCAAACCAATCTCTTCTCGAAACTGAAACCGAGGACATTGGGGTATTTGGGATTGGTTGTTTGATCGAGTAACGATGGGTTCTTGGCTCCTTAATTTCCATTTTGCTTCAATATTCAATTTCGTATAGGATTTTTTTTAATTTTTTTGAAAGAAACGATAGAATTTCATTAATAACCAACCACTTACAAGGATGCCAGATGGGTACATAAGTTTCAGTGATCAATTTCTTGATCTGGAGGTAATGAGCACAAATTACAAATAACTTTAAAACCCCTAAACGGCAATCACTCAAAACTCATCATTACAATGAGGAGTCCCGAGATTGATATGACCCAAAAGTGGCATACCAAGCACTGAACCCTCACCAAAACCTACGCTAAACAACGAGGGTACAAAATCGCAGCAACGACACAAACCAATTGCTGAAGCAACACAGAATAGTCATAAAAGCTAGACTAAAAAATGAAAGAGCATGCGACCAACACATGCATAGGATGAATAAAATAAATCCAACATGTCCACAGTGGAGTCACATGTGCAGCATTGGAAGAAGACTGAGCAGGATCGTGAGCAGAGATGACCGTCGGAGCCGCCGTCTGGTGTGGGTTGTAGCAGAGGGAAGGGTAGCGACGACTGACAAGGAAGGCAGATGGCACTATCCCATCCAAGTCTCCACGCCACCAACCACACCCCCCAAAAACAAACCCAAATGAGACAGAAACGATAGTTCCAAGGGCAAAGCCCTCGGGGAGCCCAAAACACCTGGAGCAAGGAGCAATAGACCTGCATTGCACAACAACCCGTGAGCAACCATGTCACCAGGAGCACAAAAGAAAAAAAAAACTCCACCGCGGACAGAACACTAAATATCCGAAAGCCCATCACACCCTAGCGAGGGAGGGACACTACGAAACCCATATCCGGGTCGCTGCAACGCCAAACCCGGCAGCCACCAACACCCTCCAAAGCCACAAAATGGCAGAGCCATCCAAGGGAACCAGAGAACCCCTGGGACGACGAAACCTTGTGGGGGTGGGGGGGGGAGCAGGGAGGGATGGATGAAGGAGAAAAAAGACGCGCGCGGGGGAAGGGGAAGCGGGGGGAGAGGGACAAAGGAGAAAACACCTGGGGGGGGGGAAATGAAAGGAAAAACTATGGAGGAAGCACGGGAGAGTAGAGGTGGGAGGAAGGCTGAGAACAGTAGGGATAGGGAGGCGAAAATGACGAAAGAAAACAGAGGGGGTGAAAGGGCTAGGAGGATGAGAAGGGGGGATGGAGACGGAAGAGGGGAATAGGAGAAGGAAGGGAGGCTAGGAGGAGGAGAAGGTGGGGCGGCCACCGACCCACAGCCTTAGCTGGAAGCCGGTGGCCATGGGATGAGGACTTAAGGATGAATTAGGGAGCCACGAAATAGCCAATGGATTGTCACTTTAGTTAGGTGGTTTATTGATTGGATTAAGATTATTTCCCTTTCTTTTTCCATTTCCTTATGTCTTCTCATCTCACATTCTTTATTTTGTCTTTCTTTTTTTTTTTTAAAAAAAAAAGTTAATATAAGATGTTAGCGTAACCCGTTCAAAGAGGGATGGAGGGAAGAGGAGAGGAAAAACAGAGAGGAGAGAATCATACTCCTTATTGATTTCGAGAAAAAAAGAAAAAAAACGATTTTGATGGATTTTAATTCTTTTATACTGTATTTGAATGAAGAAATTTAAAATTATTAAGGAATTTTAAAATAACAGAAATTGAAATGACGAAATTTTATTTTCTAGAATTTGTGAATTTTCTTATTTGGTTAAAGAACAATATAATTAAATACGAATTATTTATTTATTTTTAAACTCTCTATAATATAAATTGAGAAATGATACTTATTTACATGAAATTTGAACTTGAGAATTGGATGTCTCAAATTCCACGTTTTTTTTTTTCCACGTGAAGATTCTAAATTTCTATGTTTATGAATTCAAACAAAGAAATTCGTGCATGTCAATTTGCAAATTCTAACTTTAATCAAAATTTTAAGTTTTTTTTTCCTCATTTAAACATAGTGTGAATCTAGAGGTATTCAATCAAGATTTTAAATGATTTTCTAAAATTCAAAGTGTATTCAATCGGGACTTTAAGACGGGTTATTAACAACCTTAGAAATCTAGGTGTATTCAATTAGGATTTTAATGAAGTTTATAACATTCCAAGTACATTCAATTAGAAATTGATTTTAAAGAATTCGAAGAAGTTGAGGAATTCGAGGGAATTTGAGAGATTTCGTAGTGTATTTTAAACATTTACAAATCTCACATCTTCCATGAGATTTTGAGCGAATTGAATCAAAATTTTGTATTCAATTGAGAATTTGAGAGGTTTTAATGGATTTATAAATCCATAGAATATTATAGAGTTTAATTGATTTGTAGATATTCCATTTAAAATTTTGATTCAATTCCCTCGAAATCTCATAAGGAGGGATGAGATTTGTGGATGCTTAAAATACACTTTGAAATCTCTTCAATTCCCTCGAATTCCTTGACTTTTTCAAATTCTTGAAAATCAATTTTTAATTGAATACACCTGAAATATTATAAACTGCTTTAAAATACCAATTGAATACATTCAGATTTCTAAGGATTTTAATTAACGATCTTAAAATTCTGATTTGAATTTCAGATAATCACATAAAATCTTAATTAAAGACCCTAGATTCATTAAAAGAATTAAAATCCTTCAAAATCTCATTTGAATACACCCTCTTATATGGAATCTCATACAATCAATTGAACTCCTTAGAAGTCTATAAATTTATAAATCTATTAAATTCTCTCAAACTCCCAATTGAATACACTCTTTTTATTCTATCATCATTAATCTGAAAACTTATATAAACAAGGACCTCACACTTCTCAAAAGAGAAATAAGGTAGTTTAAATTCATTTTTGTCAAAAATCGAATCTAAAACATCTCTCACCTTCCTAATTTATTGCGGGTTAGTTATTCGTCAGCACGGGTTTAGCTTACGATGTATTTGGAAGCCCTCGTCCAAACGAGTATTTTACAGAAAGCCGACTAGGAATTCCATTAATAAAGAGAAAAGCACCAACCATAGTAGTAGTACTGATTGTTTAAAAAAAGGGGAAGTATTAGCCGGTAGGGTTTTGGGGATTTTCCAATTGAATTGGATCGTCATCGGCACAGTTGCTTCCACTCTACTAACACGGCTAGTATGCTGCAAACACTCAGATTATGCTATTCGCAATCTTGCAGCATAGTTGCTGTTTCCAGAATCACATTCTTTGTTCAAAATCCGATACTCCGCAGACACTTGAGCTCGGAAATCTCAGAAATCCATCCCAATTTCACAATCAATTACCTCATAAACTCATGTGGGTTGTCCCCAAAAGGTGCGATTTCAGCATCCAAGTGGTTCGAGTTGCAATCCCCAGAAAGAGCAGACTGCGTCTTGTCCCTCCTCAGAAGCCATGGATTCTCCGAAACCCAGATCTCCAAGATCGTCAGGTCATGCACACAACTTCTTAACTCCAATCCGGAGAAAACCCTTTTGCCAAAGCTTGAGTTTTTCAGGTCGAATGGGGTTTCAAGGGAGGGCCTTGGAAAACTTCTGGCAAATTATCCGCGGATTTTGAGTGTGAGCTTGGAGAAACAGATTGTACCCACTTACAACTTCCTTAGGAGTATGATTTCTGAGAAAAATGCCGTTTCGGTTTTGAGCCGGGGCTCATGGTTTATCTATTCCAAGAATTTGGTGCCAAATCTTGAGATGTTGAGAGAATCAGGTATGCCCCCATCCTGCATTTCTCTGTTGCTTGCTCGTCAACCCACTGCTTTTGCGCTGACGCCTAAACTGCTTGGTGAGGTTGTGGATAGGGTTGAGCAAATGGGTTTTAATATGCAAACATCAACTTTTGTGCATGCAATGTGTGTATTATTATTGCGCTTTAACGATAGTAACTTGGTATGGAATCGAAATTGCGAAGTTTATAAGAGGTGGGGTTGGTCTGAGGATGATGTTCTCTCTGCTTTCAGACGGTACCCGTTCTGTATGAATAAGTCGGAGACAAAAATAGCGTCGGTAATGGATTTTTTAGTGAACAAGATGGGATGGCCGCAGAGATCAATTGTCAAATACCCGACTGTCATGAGTCTCAGTTTGGAGAGTAGAATTATACCAAGGTGTTCGGTCGTGAAAGTTTTGGTGTTGAAAGGATTGATAAAGGAAATTGAAAATGTGAGTTTGAGTTCGTTATTGGCACCTACGGAGAACTGCTTCTTGGATAAGTTTGTGTTCAGATATATAGATGAAGTACCTCAATTGTTAAGCGTGTATAAAGGGAAAGTGGAAGCCCAGGATGTTTGATGTTGGTAGGAGATGCAGTGCTGGTCATTGTCAATGGTAGCAGCTAGCTTTTGGCCCAGTTTTGTAAGTTCGTTCGTTAACTACTGTTTTACTTATGCCAACACACTCTTCATATTTCTGTAGAAATAAGTTCAGATGTTAGTCTTGGCCAAAGAAAAACGAATACTTGTTTGTTTTGTGTTTGCATTCTGCTGCATAGCTGCTTTAGCTGTTTAGCTCTGCTAACTTAGTAATTTTCTTCCAAGAACAGCTAGCCAGCCTTGGTTTCGGTGGCAATGGCTGCCTAAACTATTACTGTCATTGTCTTTGTGTTAGCCTTGTTAGCGTTCAGTTTATGTAATGCTTGCTTATTGAAAAACGAAAATGAAGCTTTGACAAGATGTGTTATACTGATTCGTTAGAGTTGTAATGCTGAGTGGAGGAGTTTGGATTTGAGATAATGATTCAATGGTTTAGCCAGCCTTTTCATTAATTTTCCTTTCAAATTATGAATAAGACTACAAATGATATCGTGGAAAATGACCTCAAGCCACAATACTTGTGAATGGCTTCACTAGTTGACTATGAAGTGTTTCCCCATCTGTCTGGTGCTGTCACAATCTACATATAGGCTGGCCAAGGTGCTGCAGGAAAGTGAACGAGGAAGAGAGCAAGAGATTTTGCCTTACAAACACCATTAGAACCAAGTGGAAGAAACTAGATGGCAGGCAGTTCCGTTAAAAGTTCATGTTTATTTTCTGGATTAGTGGTTGGAATAGGACTTCTAAAGCTAGAGATGGTTCATCAAACTGAACATTGAGTCGTCCATAGTTTTGTTTGAATGGCGAAATTGTGTTTCCATGCCTGAATTAAAATTACTGGAGGAAGGAAAAACAGGTTTTGGGCCACACTGTTTAGATAACTTGTGTTAAATTTGATGCATGTTCTAATTATATATTTCCTTGGAATTCCATAGGAAGATAAGGACTGCAATGCAAGAGTAGTTTAGATTAGCAGAGAAATGAAGTAGCCTCAGGCGTGCCGCTTGTATGACCCGGAGTCCAGACTCCAAGTGCATTGCTCCTTATAACCATTTTGACTTCTAAATCTGTTGTTTTTTTGTGAACATATCTTCGATGATTACCAGTTCTTTCATCTAGCTACGGAATACGTTGATAAGGATGTGTTAGTTTTGAATCCGATATATATAATAGCTTAGAGCAGCCATTGAGCAGAGAGCATTTTCCAAAGTATTTTAAGAGAAGAAAAACCAGTTTTGTAGCCGTTTGTTTTTAGAGAAAAATTTAGTTTTTGATCATTGGTTTTTCCTACGCTCAAGTAGAAATCATTTATGGATGTGCTTTGTGGTTTTCATAATTGATTGATTTAAAAAATCATTTCATTTCATACATTATGCGTGATCGCATTAGTATATTGCAAGGTTAAAAAGGTGATTGATGGCCGCGTAAATGTTGTGCCACTTCCACTTGAAGACTGAATGGAGATCAAGGGAGATCGAATGGCAAAGGCGTGGAGACAGAACTGCGTGCTAGTTGAGTTTCTAGTAAGATACTAATTGTTGTGATAGTCGGACACAAGCTTGAGCCGCTACAATTGATGCAATAGTCGGGAAGCAAGCGCTGGTCCTAGCCGGGCATCATCCTTTTTGAATTGATTGTTGGACACGAGTTGTAAAATATCGAATCCAAAATAAAGAATCATCAACCAAAAATTCAAGAATATACTTTTCACTCATTTTAGCACCAATCAGTGAATTAAATTTCGCGTAACTTAATTGATCAACCAAATTAATGGGTAGTTTGGTACAAGAAAAAAATGAAGGGCAAATTGAAGAAAAATGATGGGGAAAACAAATGATGAAGGAAAGAAATGTAAATTTGAATCCTTGCAATTTGAGTTGATAATTGCACTCTACTTTGTTGTGAGGGTATTTAAGTCTATTCGCAACAAATATGGTCAGAATTATAACCAAAATGATGCGCTTCAAGGACCGCAGGTCCGCTTGATTCTCTTGGAGGCTGAAATCGAACCTTCTCAGAACAGCGCACGGGAGTTTATGAGGTAATTGGCTGTGAAATCGTGGTTGGTTTCTGAGACTGCAGAGTAGTAGATTATGAAGAGGAAAATCTGCTACGCTGCAGACATTTCACCTCGAAAATCTCAAAAACCAACCACGATTTCAGTCAATTGCCTAACAAACTCGCATGCGTTGTCCCAAGAAGGTGTGATTTCAGCCTTCAAGAGGGTCAAGCTGCGGTCCCCAAAGAGAGCGGACTCCTTTTTGTACTTTCTCAGAAAACCATGGATTCTCTGTAGACCAGATCTCGAAGCTTGTTGGGAGTCGCTCAGAACTACTTCAATATGATCCGGAGAAAACCCTTTTGACAAGCTTGTATTTTTCAGGTCTTTTGCAAGATTCAAGAAGGGGCCTTGCAGCAACTCTGTCCTATAATCCGCAGCTTTTGACAAGGAGCTTGGAGAAACGGATTGCATCCGCTTATGATTTCCTTAGGAGTCTGCTTTCTCAGAAAAATGTCGTTTCTGTTTTCAAGTCGGGCTCGTGGATTTTCGTGGAAGGTCACTCCAAGAAGGTGGCGCCAAATATTGAGGTTTTAAGAGAATCAGGTATGCCCCAGTCATTCGTTTCTCCGTTGATGCTTCAGAGTCCCGGCGTTTTTATGCTAAAGCCTAAAGATCTTGGTCAACTTGCGGATGAGATTAAGCAAATCGGTTTTAATCTGCTGAAATCAATGTCGTTAGAGACAATAAGAGCATTGTGTGGTAACAATAGGTCCATACGTAATCGAAATCGCCAAGTTTATAAGAGGTGGGGTTGGTCTGAGGACGATGTTCTCTCTGCTCTCAGGCGGCGCCCACGCTGTATGACTGTTGGACGTTTTAGTGAAAAAGATGGGATGGCTTGGCCGTCGGCAATGATTGGCAATGGTTGGCAATGGTGTTCCGTTGTTAAAGTTTTGTTGCTGAAAGGGCTGATGCAGATTGAAAATGTGAGTTTGCTTTCTGTGTTGGTGCTGTCAGACAAGTTCTTCTTGGAAAGGTTCGTGGCCCGATTCATAGATGAAGTACCTCCGTTAAGAGTTGAAGTCCAGGAAGGGTTAGATAACAATTCATGTGTATGCAGTCAGTGGTGGCATCTAAGAGAACCACATGCTTTTGTAGATAGAAAATATGGACGTGCATGCGCATCTTTATTAATTTGCATAGGATGATTGGCATCTGCAGATCGGTCTTACACATATGTCGTTCCTATACCTTACTGCTAGGGACTGCAGTGAACCCATTTACCGGTAACTTTTACACTAAGCATGTAGGCATAGGCACGGCGTGGTATAACCCCAGCAGGAGAAATTGGGTTTGAATCATATGCAAGACATGACCAACTTTTTTGTAAGTAGAATGATAGTGTTAGTAGGCTAAATATTTAATTGTTAGAAAAAAAGCGAATCGGTGTAGATGGTACCGCATAAAGAGACATAAGCATAATTTTTTTCAATTATTACGATAATGCGCCATCTACCAATGATAAAAAAATATAGAATAACAAATAGTTAGAAATAATAATTAAATAAATTCCACAACTAAAAGCTAACCTCTATTAAACTCCAAGGGAAAAGAAATGAAAATGAAATATGCTAAAACCAAAATCCCAGTGAGCGGAAGACCTGGTAGGGTTTTTTGGGGGCCGTTGCCAGTTTCAAATTTGAAATTGATCATCTATTATTAACTGAAACGATGGTATTGCTTTCCAAATTGAAAGTCGTTACTCTCAGATTTTGTTATTCTCCATCTTCCTGCATAGTTGCTTCCACATTTAAACGATTTGTCGTTGGAGATGTAAAACCCTTACATTTTCCTCTTCAAAATCTGCTACTCTGCAGACACTTCACCTCAGAAATCTCAGAAACCCACCACGATTTCACAGTCAATTACCTCATAAACTCATGTGGGCTGTCCCCGGAAGGTGCGATTTCAGCGTCTAAGTGGGTCAAGTTGCGATCCCCCAAAAGAGCAGACTCCGTTTTGTCCTTTCTCAGAAACCATGGATTATCTGAGACCCAGATCTCCAGGATCGTCAGGAATCACTCTCCAGTTCTTAACTCCAATACGGAGAAAACCCTTTTGCCAAAGCTTGAGTTTTTCGCTTCTCTAGGAGTTTCAAGGGGGGACCTTGCAAAAACTCTGGCATATGGACCGAAGCTTTTGTCTACGAGCTTGGAGAAACGGATTGCACCCACTTATGATTTCCTTAGGAGTCTGCTTTCTCAGAAAAATGTCGTTTCCGTTTTAAAGCGCGGCTCCTGGATTTTCGTTGAGGGCCACTCCAAGAAGGTAGTGCCAAATATTGAGGTTTTGAAAAAATCAGGTATGCCCCAATCCTGCATTTCCCTGTTGCTTACTTATCATCCCAGCACTTTAAAGCTAAAGCCTAAAGATCTTGGTCAACTTGTGGATGAGCTTAGTGAAATGGGTTTTGATCTGCAAAAATCAACTTCGGTGTTAGCAATGAACGCATTGTGTGTTAGGAAGAGGTCTGTATGGAATCGAAGTTGCAAAATTTATAAGAGGTGGGGGTGGTCTGAGGATGATGTTCTCGCTGCCTTCAGGAGTCAGCCTAATTGTATGATTGTCTCGGAGAAGAAATTAATACGAGCACTGGAATTTTTAGTGAACGAGATGGGGTGGTCTTCAAAAATGATTGCAAAAAGCCCGCTGGTCCTCTGTTTAAGTTTGGAGAAGAGATTGGTTCCAAGGTGTTCAGTTGTTAAAGTTTTATTGTTGAAAGGATTGATAAAGGGGATTGAAAATGTGAGTTTGTATTCTTTGTTGGTGCCTGCGGAGAAGTATTTCTTGGAGAGGTTTGTGGCCAGAAATATAAATGAAGTACCTCAGTTATTGAGTGTGTATCAAGGAAGAGTTGAAGTCCAGGATGTATGATGGTGGTAGGTCAAAAGAGTTGAAGTCCAGGATATCTGATGGTGGTAGTATCGTAGATGCAGCGCTGTTCATTTCCATTGGTAGGAGCTAACTTTTGGCTCAGCATTGTAAGTTTGTGAACTTAAGCACTGTTTTATATTTTTCTCGAAATGAATTCATTTGTTAATTATTTGGTTGTCTTAGCATTCCACTGTCTAGCTACTTTAGTTATATATTTACTTTCTTATTTGGAATTAACTTAGTGGGAAAAGGCTTTGTAGTTGTATTTGAAATTAACTTGAGATTTGACGTGATTGTGGTGCTTTGTTCTTGACTTTGTTCGTATGGGAACTGCATTCGATAGAATGTACACATATGTTGCTTCATTGGGGTTCAATCTAATCTATTGTGGCAATGAAGGAATGAAAAAAACCTGCAACTCCATGCAATATGTGTGTGTGTGGGTGTACACATTCTTTGTACTTTGGAGGAAAATAAGTGGAATGTGGAAGAGTTAGATTTCAGGGTAAGTAACTAGCTAGGAGCTGTGGAGTTGAATTTGTCCTGTTCCCCCTTTGGCCTTTTTTGATGGAAACTCCAAGTGTATAGACAAAGTACCTCAATTAGGGAGTGTTTATCAAGGAAAAGTAGAGGTCCAGGTGTAACAATGCAGCTCTGCGCATTGGTAGCATCTAGCTTTTCGCTCAGTATTGTAACTGCTGTTTTATTTGTACCCAACAATGCAGCACTGCTCATTGCTAGTACCTCCTTTAGTTATGTACACTAATCTCCCTCGGGCAAGTTGTTTGCATAACCAAGCAAAGAGCTAGTGAGGGCCGGGATGGAGGATCATATCTAGTGCAGTATCGGATCCGAAGCTGAGCAAACTGTGCGAAAACTACTGCTTTGTTTTTCAGTTTAATGTGAAGTCTAAGGAAGAGAAATCCTAAGCAGAAAGCCGGGGAAGTAAGGTTATGAAAGGTAGTTTGTTTGCTCGACCGAAAAAGAAAGATTGAAACAGCCAAGAACAACGAAAACCTTTCAAGCAGCAAGTTCTAATCTTAATGCAGGAAATGCATATCTTTTAACGTATCTGAAAGCAGCTTGATGATGACAGGCGCTGCTCTCTGTGATTGTGGTGCCTTCAACAATAGATGGTTCTTGAGTTTGTTCATCTGGGAACTGCCTTCGGTAGATTGTACACATTATAATCTTATTCTAGAGATGAAAAATACAGAAGTAACTCGTCTGCATTTTCACATTATAAGTTGTGTTGGATATCGTTGATTCTGCGAGCTGTCTGTGTTATCCTCTGCTAGTGTATAATGATATTCCTCCACAAGCAGTTATCCTTGTTTTTGGTGGCAATGGCTGGGTAAAGTATCACTGTATCATTATGCATCACTTGCGCTTGTAAGAATTATGCAACGCTTGCGTTATTAAAAAGAGGAAAATGCAACTCTTGTCGCTGAGTTTTGCGTTTTTCAAGGGACATAAGATTTGTAATGCAGAGTAATTGCCTGTTAGTAATTGCCTATGGAAGCTAGCCTTTTCTCAGTGGCCATGGCCTAGGTAAGTATCATTGTGCCCTTATGATTCCCTTGTGCTGTATTTTCAGCACTTGTCTTATCAAATTATAGGTCTGTATGAATGTGTCCGAGAAGAAACTAACGATAACAGGAATTTTTAGTGAACAAGATGGGATGGCCGTCGGAAATGATTGCCAGATCACCAGTGGTCATGTGTTACAGTTTGGAGAAGGGATTTATACCCTGGTGTTCAGTTGTTGAAAGGATTGATAAACGGGATTCAAACTGTGAGTTGTGTTATGTGTTGGTGCCTGTGGAGAAGTTGTTCTTGGAGAGGTTTGTGGCGAGATATATAAATGAAGTACCTCAGTTATTGAGTGTGTATCACGGAAGAGTTGAAGTCCAGGATGTATGGTGTTCGTAGGTCAAAAGAGGTTTGATATTCGTTATAATTTGGGAGGCCTTGATGTAGTACCGTAGATGCAGTGCTGTTTATTTCCATTGGTAGCAGCTAACTTTTGGTTCAGCCTTGTAAGTTTGCGTCCTTAGCTAGTGTTTTATATTTCTCTAGGTACTTTTGTTGTATATCAACTTAAGATTGATTGTTTTCGTCTGGGAACTGCCTTTGGGAATTGATATCTCAATATGTGTGGATAAATGAATCCAATTTCTATCTGCAATTATCCGATACTAAATCATATGTGATCGAAACTGAAGCCGGTCATTGTGCTTTCATGGTGTATCATTGGAGGAAGGGTTGTGGGAGGGAGGGACATTGATGGGTTTAAACACGCAGTTAGGGTACGTTTAATAGCCGTTTGGTTTTATGTTTTTAGTTCTCACTTTTTTTGTGCTTTAGATATGGAGAAAGTATAAAGGGAAGGTGGGGAGAAACAAGGGTGGTAAGAGCAGTGGCGGTGCCAGAAATCGAAGCTAGTAGGGGCCTCTAAGCCGTATGAAAGAAGTTGGACAAAAAATAATATAATTAATGCGAGAAAAGTTCATTTTTGTAGTGAAATGAGAAATTTTAATCATAAGAGAGGAAGGAAGTCGTGAAAAAAATAATAATAATAACATTGAGATAATTATATCACAAGCATTGAGTTCCTACATTGAAATTGAATAAAAATTATTGCACCAAACTGATAAAAAATTATTCCTCTATGCCATATATGCGTGGTTTCAGTGTTCATCAAATCATACAAAAGGGTGACTAACTAGAGAAGGCTAGTTGACATAAGTATTTGGTTTCATAACAATACTACTGTAAAAACACGTTTTTTTTTTGGTCAATTAGAGAAATATAATAAAGCTAGCTGGGAGCAAAAGTATATAAGTCAAGGAATACAAACTATCCAATCAAAATCATAAACAAAAACTAAAAGTGAAGAAACTTCATGATAGGCCCACGCCTCTCCTAGTCCTCAAATGGCTCTGCCACTAGGTGAGAGGTAGGAAAAGAAACAAGAAGAGTAAACGAAAACAAAACCTTGAAAATAAAAACAACTTGAAATAGTTTTTGGTTTTAATTTTCTTTTGTGTACCTTTCCATATGAATCTAAGGAATTTGATTATTCATCGTGAGGATGTTATTTGTTATCATAATCGTCGATTTGTTTGACGTACTTGAATGGTTAAATGGTCTTTAAGTTAAATGAATTTTTCTAGAGATTATCTTTATATAGTAACAAAGAACATAGAGAGTTACGATTATGACGGTGGTAGGGTGAAATAATCACGTTTGAGTGGAAATGAAAAATTTCCTCCTTTGCCAGAATGATTGATATTCCCTTTTCTTGGAATTCCATCGGAACATAGGGACAACAATGCAAGAGTGCAAGATCAACTGATGGCCAACCGAATGAATACCTAAAGACCAACTCCAACAAGAGGCCCAAACCCAAATATTCGGGTTTAAACTCAAAAATTACCCCCCAACAACAAGACATAAACCCCAAAAAATTTGGGTTTATATTCAGCCGACTCGAAAGGGGGGACCTGCCTCTTTTAAAGAGAAGAACACCCACTACTTTGGATGTGATGGTCAACATCCAGGCCCGACGTGTTAGGAGGCCCACGTGGCCAAGGATAACAATTCATATTCAAATGTACAATTCGATTTATCAATCATTGGTTATCAATTGTTTTGATTAAAATTTTATTTCTTGCATTCAATTTAATGGTTGAGATTAAAACATATCAAATTCTATGACTATAACAATTTAAAATTATATATATATATATATATATATAATTTAGTGTGATATTGATACTTGTGCTGATCTATTTGGTCTCGATTCGGTTTCGATAGTTGAATTTTTTACTGTTTTTGGGTCGACATATTTTGGTTCAGTTTTGATACAAATCGGATCGATTCTTCGATTATTGTGTTAATTTACCACGATATATTGACCATAATAAAAAAAAAAATGTATTACAATTTGAGTAGAACTTTAACGTCATATAATCGTATTTTGAGTACACTAAAGAATGATTTGTCATTGATGAAAGATTTTTTAATATTTTCAGAACATGTGGTGGTGCATTATATCATCATACAAGTGGAAGAAAGAAAATAATTTCAAATGTCTCTTCACTTGTATACTGATATATGACATATGTGCACGTATTCTAACAACGTAGAAAAATCTCTCCTCATCGGGTTGTTGCGCACGTATTGGGCCCGCCGGGAAAGTAACCCAGGCCTTCGGGTTTGCCAATTTAACGAGCCTTCGGAAAAAGTTGCTCGAAGGTCGAAGGCGCAAAGAAAAGGTCAGAACTTGAAAATGCTAAGCTAAAATCCACTGTTAGTTGAAGTCACTCACGGATTGGGTTCTTCTCAATATTCCGGTAGAGTTGCTTCGCATCTTTCTCTTCAGAATCTGCTGCTACTCTGCAGACATTTCACCTCAGAAATCTCAGAAACCCATCACGATTTCAAAGTGAATTACCTCATAAATTCATGTGGGGTGTCATCGGAAGATGCAATTCCGGCGTCCAAGAGGGTCGAGTTGCGCTCCCCAGATAGAGCTGACTCCGTTTTGGCCATTCTCAGAAACCATGGACTCTCACAAACCCAGATATCGAAGATCGTCAGGAATCACTCAGAAGTTCTTCAGTTCGATCCGGATAAAACCCTTTTGCCAAAGCTTGAATTTTTCAGATCTCTTGGGGTTTGAAGGGAGGAACTTGCATCAGTTCCGGCATATCGTCCGCAGCTTTTGACCAGAAACTTGGAGAACCGGATTGTTCCCTCTTATGATTTCCTTAGGAGTCTGCTTTCTCAGAAAAATGTTGTTTCTATTTTGAAGCAGGGGTCGTGGATTTTCGTGGAAGGCCATTCCAAGAAGCTGGCGCCAAATATTGAGGTTTTGAGAGAATCAGGAATGCCCCAATCACGCATTTATATGTTGCTTGCTCATCACCCCTTCGTTTTTATGCGAAAGCCTAAAGAGCTTGGTCAACTCGTGGATGAGGTTAAGCAAATGGGTTTTAATCTGAACAAAACCAAATTCTCTGTTGGCATTAGGAGCATTGTGTTGTAAGTCAACATGTATTCGAAGTCGGGAAGTGTATAGGAGGTGGGGATAGTCTGAGGATGATGTTCTCTCTGCTCTCAGGAGGTACCCGCTGTGTATGATTGTGTCGGAGAAGAAAATAATGCTAGCAATGGAACTTTTAGTGAAAAAAATGGGATGGCCATCGAGAATGGTTGCCAAAACCCCAGCGGTCATGTGTTACAGTATGGAGAAGAGATTTATCCCCCGCTGTTCTGTTGTTAAAGTTTTGATGCTGAAAGGATTGATGGAGATTGAAAACGTGCGTTTGGGTTCTGTATTAGTGCCGTTGGAAAAGTGGTTCTTGGAGATGTTTGTGGGGAGATATATAAATGAAGTACCTCAATTATTGAGTTGTATCAAGGAAAGGTTGAAGTCCAGGATGTATGATGTTTGTAGGTTAAAAGAGGATAGATATTGCAACAATTTTAGATGCATTGATGCAGATTTAGCACTGCTCATTGTCATTGGTAGCAGCTATATAAATGAGTTGCCTGCATCATTGAGTGCGTATCAAGGAACAGTTGAAGCCAGGATATACAGCCTTGATACGTTGAAGCGAGTGATATTACTGCAGATAGTTTTAGCATCCTGTATCCCAGAAAGTTTATCCTTAAGTAAGGTTTAGGTTGAATCAAACCTGTTATAAAAAATTCTCGGCATTTAATTCGTCTCTTCAAATGTGTGTGTATATATATATATGTGTGTGTGTGTGTGTGTGTGTGTGTGTGTGTTTGTGTCTCCTTTCTTATTAAAATACCTGCTTTGGTTGGCATGCTCTTTGTGGTGTATCAATCCCGTGCAGTTCATGGTTCCTGAATTTTCGTCTTCCTTGAATATTGTTTTTGTAGATTATGCACCTATATTGATTTTATGAGGGTTCAATCTTGGCCATTTTTGAAGTTCCAAGAGTCAACGCCTGTCAGTCCATCCTCGATTCTCTTCTCTGTTAGTCTGTTTGGGTGACCATAGTTGATTTATTGGATCTGCTTCAGTGGCCATGGTCTATTTTTAGGAAACTCAATCAACATAGCATCATCCCCGGCAAGGATGGCTGTCTGATTATTTTCTCTTGCTTTATCATTTTTGCTGAGATGAGGAACAAAATACATGCAGTGTCTGTGATCTGGTAAGTTTGTTATCATTGGGAATGAATCTATTTAGAAAGCCTCCGAAGACTTGTTGATCTCAAAAGAGAGGTAATGGATGAATTTTCCTTTATCCAATGAATATGTCTGAATACGATTTTACTGATGTTAGTTATTGCAGGCTTATGAGATTCTAAACTTGTATAGTCGTATTGCAAAGAAAATGCAGAAATTGAATATTTTCCGAGGAGTAGAGTGTGTTACTTTAGCTTTGCTTTAGTTTGTTTCCTTCGAGATGGAGGAGTGGACGCTCGGAGGAGCCTGTTCAACCTGGCACAAACTCACAGGTAATAGAGATTCAAATATACATATGAATATGCACATGTTTATATTGACGAATACGTACGTCATGAATATGTGTTTATTTCTGAGCTTTGGCGATCTAAACTAATCGAAATATATGTGATGAACTGTATTCTGGAATCATGTTCGTCAAATATTGGTGTAATTGCTAATCTTGCAGGCACAGAGCGCTGGTCATGGGCCAGAGAAGAAACAATTCTAATCATTCGCGATGAAGGAAGGAGCAAGAACCAGGGGAAGGACACGGAAAAGAGAGAGAACACACCAGCAAGAAGTTCTTTCCTTCTCATACCACTCCTCTTTCATCATCCATTTACTTTGATTGTAAAGCTCTAGCCATCTTCATTGTATTCTGTAAATCTCTCGTACATTGTGAAATACAAATACATAGCCACTCTAATGAATGTTAATGCACAAGCATTGTCTCTCGTATTCTTAATACACAACCACAATAAACTCCAAAGCAATCTCAGTTTCTATTTCACAAGGTTCAATGATTTTTTATTTATCGGTTTCACTTTCACAAGAAAAGTGAATAGTAAGTGTTCAAAAGAAAAGTGAGCGGTTTGAATAGTAAGTGTTCAAATGAAAAGTGAGCGGGAAAGTTTTGAACTAATCAAAATTTCAAAGTAGTGATTTTAAACATCAAAATTTTATTGTTGAATTGCATGAACAATTTATTTGTTCATGTTGTACTGATGCCATTAGGCATTTTGATGTTGAACTTCGTTTGAACTTTAATTTTAGTATGGTAAACTAAACTTTTTCAATTGGATTGTATAAAGTAATGTCATAAGGCAGCTTGATGTTGAATATTGTTTCAAGTTGAATTTTAGTATGGTGATCATTATAACTTTCTTTTAAACGACATAAAACATTTAGGTTGCAATTGATTAGGTTTTGAACTTCTGAGTTTGTTTGAATGTGAATACTTGTATTAATGTCAATTTTTTATGGACCTACAAGTGAGAGACTAACCGAAATGAGAACCGTTGAAACTGAATCGAACTAAAACCAAATAAATAAATAGTGTTGAAAATACTAGTGGGTAATGAATGCCCACAGTATTGAATACCTGCCAAAGGGTTGAAAACATTGCCAAAGGGTTGAAAACCTTGGCAGAATATTGATATGCGGAGATCATTTGTCAAAGATGTGTGCTTGGAGTTGCTCTATAAATAGAGCACTCCGCATGTAGAGAGAGAGAGAGCAGAAAAAGAAAGAGAGGAAGAGGAGAAAAGAGAATACATAGAGTTATCTTTGTACTCCTATTATTCCAAATTATAATGAAAGCATCACTGCTGCCCGAGGACGTACTCCAGTCACACTGACTGTAGAGGAACCTCGTAAATTTTGTGTCTTGTTTTATTTATTCCACTGTACACACATAGTCAATTTTACAACACGTTATCAGCACGAAAAGCTCTCATGTCAGTGGAAAGCACAACGCCATAAATCCGGTAAAGCACTATCCACCTTTCAACTCCGTCATCTAAAATATCACAAAATAAAAGGTATGTCCATTTTTCGTCTCTCCCACTGCGCAAGAAGCGCCCCACCGAATTCCGGTGAGAATTGAAATTTACGACCTGAAGTCGTCACGAGATGAGAAAACTCGTACTTGACAACTGGTTTCCAGAGATCCAGAAGAATCTCATCAGACTAGGAAACCCAGATCACGTTGTTTTCAACGAATCTTGAGAACTCCCATGAATACTTGGTTGTTTGAGATGGTGATGGCAAGAATGAATCCACACAGGCCTCCCTCTCGTGTGCCTCTGTCAACCCCACTGTCATCTATGTCTCTGTAGGGAAGTTCTTGCTTAACGATGACATGTTCCTTGGGTCATGCAAGAACAACGCCAGTCTCTTGTAGCCTTTTGGATTGAATTGAATTTGGGCAACCTCCATAACTACCCAGTTGGCCCTGCGTTTTGAGACTGGCAGAGACAGAGAAAGAAGAAAAAAGGGATGTTGACTGCAACATAAGAAAAATATATATATAAAAAATGATTTGAATAGTGCATGACACCATTTAGTCAAAATGATATAAATGGTTTCTGTTGGTGCATAGCACCATGCTACAGAAATAAGAAAAGTAAAGTTTGAATAAGTACTGACAAAAGAAAGAAAAATAATAAATAAAAGGAGGTATGATACTTCTTGTTATTTATGTGAATTTGTGTTGGTTTAAAACCCTTTCACAAGTTCTATTTACTTTAAAGTAATTTATTTATCATGGACGGTTTTACCGCCTACTGCTTTAAGTTTTGATTTATGTGAATGGTGCTGAATTAAAGCCCTTGTCACAAGCTTTATTTACTTAAATGCAATTTATTCATTATGGCTGAAATTACCACCTATTGCTTTAATTTATTTATTATACTTCTTTTTGTTACGATGAGTATATACTGGACCCGAAGTTCCTTGATCAGATCAGAACCTGCAGTTTCTTGATCCTCATCATATAAAAATGATTGGACCTGAGGTTCCATCAAACAAAAAGATCGGGCATAAAGTCCCTTGATCCTCAAGATTAGGACATAGATCCTCAAGATTAGGACATAAAGTTCCTTGATAAGTATCTTAAGTTTGAAGTGCCGCAGTGCCTCAACTTAATTGCAATAAAAAAGCCATAAGAATCTCGGTCTGTAAGACTATTAAATAAGGACCAGAAGTTCCTTATGTCCATACTCAAAAATGGTTTAGCAGAAGCATTTATTAAGCGGATGAAATAGATTACCCGCGCTCTGCTCACGAAAATAAAATTGCCCGTTTTTACATGGGTACATGTTATTTTACATGATGCATTATTGATTTGGTTAAGACCTGTTGACAACCATCAATACTTCTCAGTACAACTCGTGTTTGGGAACCAGCCAAACATTATATACGAGTTTTTGGTTATCTATGTGCCTATTGCACTGCCACAACATACTGAAATGAAGCATCATTGCGGATTAGGCATTGATGTTAAACATCATCTATCATTCAATATTTAAAACCCTTGATTGGGGATACATTTACCGCGTGGTTTGCGGACTGTCATTTTGATAAGACAGTTTTCTTGCCGTTAGGGGGAGAAAATAACTTTGTTTCAGAAGAACGATGAGCAAATATCATTCCAGAAGAATGATGAGAAAAAACCGTTCCAGAAGAACGAAGAGAATTTGTCGTATTTTGATTCATGAAGCAATCAATATACAAACAAAGTGAGAATAATTGAATGATGCAACGATATGCAAATCAAATGCCAGATGCATTTAATGATGCAACGAAAATGATAAAATCACATATGCTTGCTGCAAATGTGCCTACAAGAATTAATGTTCCTATTGGACAAAATAATATGGCAGCAAATGATTTATCTGTTGCACGCCTGAAGCGTGGCAGATCCTCAGACTCAAAAGGTTCAGTCCTTCGAAAGAAGAAGAATATGGCACTACTGAACTATTGCATAACTGTCACATGCCAAACGCATAACAGTTGCCGCAAGGATTCTTGTCCCGAAAAGGTTAATCCGCGGATATGGGAATATTGATGTCTCATGCATGAAGCATGACAGACGTATAAGTTCCAATGACTTAACTCCCGAAGTGGAGATTAAAAATCCAAGCTCTATAACGCTCAAGAGGAGGTTATGATCTGTATTCTCTAAACTATAACTATCCTGGAAGAGATAGTGTAATGCCCTTGAAGAGGCAATGGATATCCCAAAAGAAATGAAAAGCTTTTATGCATGCGCATGTACATGAGAATATGGGATCACAAATTGATGGATAACCAATGTTAATTTTGGTTTTTACAAGTAGCTATTAAATTCATCAATGAGCTGTGGTGATATTGAGTCCCGTTCTTTTTCCATCAACGAAATTATGGACCAAAATGGAAATAGGCAATTCCATTACAATTTTGTAAGAACGTGGAAAAATAGACTTATATACTTGGATACAATACAAATAGCCAAAAGATGTTGAACCTAGAAGGTTACATATGGGCATTTGTAATACTGTGAAATACACTCACATAATATGACACAAGGTTGTAAAGGAGTTCATATGAATGGAGAATTATATACAAAGGGTTATGAGTCGCCCACATCATATCTCCATGAGTAAATCCCTCAAATATACATGGAAGCGAATTGCTCTGTATAAATTCTAAAGGAAAATGTGTCATGAAGTGTAGAAAATCCCTGAAGGATTTAAATTGCTTGAAGTAAGCCCCGGAAAGGTAAAGCATAAAATATGTACTCAATACCAATGGATGGTATAAATTGCCTTAGTGAGTATTTTCATTATGGTATTGTTGCAACATACTAAAATCTCTTGCAAGAGTTGATGATATTAAATTGGGACTCCTAAAGAGTCAAGAAAGATTATAAAGTGTTGAGAGAAATATTGTCTCGAACTGCAGAATCGAACAATATGCCAACACGAATCTTATCCATGATGTTTATGACATTAAAGAATCATATGGATTGAAGATTATGAGTTGAATACTCAAATGATTTAGACACTAAGAATAATCATTTATCTTCGCAAGAGTAAAGATAAATTGATATTTGGTCCAGAAGTACCACATCTTAGTGAAATATATGCTTTATTGTATTTAACACAATACACTGAATAAAATAAAGCTTATATATTAATATCTCCGAGAAATTACATACACATGAGTTAAAACAAACAAACAGAAGGGAACCTTCACAAAGGTTACTCATGTGAAGCCTCAGTACTCGGAAGTACCCCAGAAGGGGAAAACACCAGAAGTTGATTATTTGGAGTCTCAATACTTGGTGGAACTCCAGACAGCTAAGACAATGGATGTCTTTGGAATAAAGACTCGAACCCCCGATTGTCATTTTGAGTCCGACCTTCAGATTCCAGTAGCTGATCGAGCTTTCTTTTCATGCTCGTAGAGTAATTATTTGAAAGCATGTGTAACACTCTATTCTCATGCTTGAGCCCTCTAATCTCTTGTTTAAGACTTGCCACCTCAGCCATTAATGATTCAACTTGGTGAGTTCGAGCAAGTAAGCGCTGTCCCATATTGGATACAGAGCCCGCACATTGAACACTGAGAGCCAACGAGTCTTGAACGGCCGCCTCATCAGACCGGTTTGAAAGGATTCTATTGTCCTTTGGAGTGAGAAGATTCCTGGCTACCACTGTAGCAGTTATGTTATTCTGCATCACAGAGTCCCCAACCGTAAGAGGACCATTAGAAGTTGAGAAGGACGGGCGCCATATGTTATCCTGACGCTGCTCGTCTGTATCAATCCTGAGACTCAAATCTAAACAAATGTTAGATGGGCAAGCCATTTCCAGAAATGATGAAGGAAGTTAGATAAAATCTCAGAAGTGCAAGAAAGGGAAATTTCTGCAGGCAACAACTTTCTGAGTGTTTCTCAACAAAATTGATCTCTCTATAATAGAAGGGGCAACAGGACCACTTATTCAAAAATCGAAGAGACACCGATTTTCGAATTTCAAAAGCTGGATTTCCCTGCATGACGTCTGTCAACATCTCTCAGACGCAATCTCAGCTCTTGGATATCACGTGCAACTTTGTCAAAGATTTCTGATAAAGTTGAAAACGCGTGAATCTTACTGTTCTAATTACACCACAGTTGCTGACAAGAGTAAAGGCACAGCTTTACTACCTGCTATTGGAAAATCAATATATATGTCAACCTCTGTCCTCCATGGCAAGGCAGAACTGAAAAATGTCTAACTATTCCTCATCTCCGAGAATGCATCTTTCACAAAGTATGTCGAAATACTCAGTTTTCCCCCTCTCTGAGAATACCTCTACAAACAAGTCACACCAGAGTAAGAGTATCTCATATCATCAGGGACGAGAGCAAGAGTATCTCATATCATGCAATCTCCCTGTCCTTTCCTTTGTCCTTGTTCTTACCTGCCAAGACAAGGATAAAGAAAGCAATATGTCGGAACCTCCACTCAAACTTGCGCTGCCACCAAGAAGTGATGGTCCATTCAAATACAAGGTTTGCATTCCACTCCTGTATCAGATGACAAATACTACAAGAGAAGATGCCAAACCTGCATAAGGAAAATACCACTTCTGCAAGGGGAGCAACTAAGGCAAGTGAAAATGATACATTGAAGCATGTGGAGACAAGCACAACAAACACATTTCAGTTCATCCCCGACAAAGTCTAAGATCATTTGTCACATGAAGCTCCTCATGATCCAATTTCATTCAAGATCAAGTGTAGACGGCCTTTGAAGAAATCACAAGTCCGATTCATGATCAAGTGTCCACCACCCTTGAATCAAATTCAGCTCCAGATAAAATAGGTAAATTCAGACCTTTGGAGGAAGTCTAGCAGAAAGACCCTCCAACCCAGTTCAAGAACAAGTCTGTGGAAAGTTAACAACAAGTGAAACACCTCATTCGGCAACTATCACCGCTAAAAGACTAAAGCAGCAGGATCAATGATCAGCCTAAAGAATTTGGAATCAGGGGGAGATACTCATCAAGGGGGAGCATCCAAAAATAGATCAAGATTTTAACGAGGCAACTAATGTTGATATGTGGGCATCCAAGGGGGAGTGTTGAAAATACTAGTGGGTAATGAATGCCCACAGTATTGAATACCTGCCAAAGGGTTGAAAACATTGCCAAAGGGTTGAAAACCTTGGCAGAATATTGATATGCGGAGATCATTTGTCAAAGATGTGTGCTTGGAGTTGCTCTATAAATAGAGCACTCCGCATGTAGAGAGAGAGAGAGCAGAAAAAGAAAGAGAGGAAGAGGAGAAAAGAGAATACATAGAGTTATCTTTGTACTCCTATTATTCCAAATTATAATGAAAGCATCACTGCTGCCCGAGGACGTACTCCAGTCACACTGACTGTAGAGGAACCTCGTAAATTTTGTGTCTTGTTTTATTTATTCCACTGTACACACATAGTCAATTTTACAACAAATAGAAAAATGTTTCATTTTATAATTGGTTCAAAGCCGCAATTTCAAGATAGAACCGATTAACCCGAACCGCCACCGCCCGCCCGCCTGCAACTTTCATCTGCGCTAGTACTGCCTTCTTCCAGTCGCCATTTGAGCTCACGTTTTCTGAAGACCTCCACTCAGTCGAAACTGAGCGCCATCAACATCTAACATGGTAACGCTCTACAGTCTGAAGAGCCTTGGATTTGGTCATTCAACATTTGCCACTACATTCGGTTCCAAAACTAAAAGATTTATCGTCGGAGATCTAAAACCCTCACGCATTTCTCTTCAAAACCAGTTACTCTACAGACCCATTGCCACAGAAATCTCAGAAAACCAGCACAATTTCACCGTCAATTACCTCATAAACTCATGTGGGTTGTCGCCAGAAGGCGCGATTTCAGCATCCAAGTGGGTCGAATTGCATTCCCCTGAAAGAGCGGACTCTGTTTTGGCCCTTCTCAGAAGCCATGGATTCTCTGAAACCCAAATCTCAAAGCTCGTCAGGTCGCGTCCGCAGCTTCTTTTAGCCAATCCGGAGAAGACCCTTTTGCCGAAGCTCGAGTTTTTCCGGTCTCTCGGAGTTTCGAGGCAGGACCTTGCGCAAACTCTGGCTTTCAATCCGAAGCTTCTTTCAAGAAGTTTGAAGAAACAGATTATTCCCACTTACGTCTTTCTGAGGAGTATTGTTTCTGAGAAGAAGCTTGTTGCTATTTTCAAGCACAACTCGTGTATTTTCGTTGAAAGTAACTGCAATGTGGTGGAGAACATTGGGTTTTTGAGAGAACTGGGTATGCCCCATTCGTGCATTTCTATGTTGCTGGCTCACTTCACTACTGTTTTGATGGTGAGCCCTGAAAAATTTGGTTTGCTTGTGAGTGAGGTTAAGGAAATGGGGTTTAATCTTGAAAAATCGACTTCTGTGAATGCACTGCGTGCATTGTGTGGGAAGAATAAGCTGATATGGAATCGGAGTCGAGAAGTTTTTAGGAGGTGGGGTTGGTCTGAGGACGATGTTCTTTCTGCTTTCAGGAAGAACCCGCAGTTTATGATTGTGTCAGAGAAGAAACTGCTGCAAGCAATGGAACTTCTAGTGAATGAGATGGGATGGCCTTCAGAAATGATTGCCAAGTATCCAGTGGTCTTGAGTCTCAGCTTGGAGAGGAGACTTATTCCGAGGTGTTTGGTTGTTAAGGTTCTGTTGTCGAAAGGATTGATAAACGAAAACTTGAATATCGGTTCGGTGTTGCTTCCTCCAGAGAAGCATTTCATAGAGAGGTTTGTAACTAAATATCTCAAACAAGTACCTCAGTTGCTTAGTATGTATCAAGGGAAAGTGGATGTCGAGGATGTACGATCTTGATACCTTGAAATGGGTGAGCTTGTAAATTGCATTAGCCCCCAGAAGTATTTGTTGCACTTAGCACAATGTTATTGTACCATAGACATGGTCCTGAAGTAATGTTTCTGTTGTTCCCAACATGTTATTAATTTCATTGGAAGTAAATTCATTTGTTCGTTATTTGACTTCATCGCGTAGATGCTTTTAGTCAATCTTACATATTTTCTTGCTGCTTAAGTTTGCCTGCTTCTGGCAGTGTCACCAATCTCATGCAGTTTATAGTTCCTGAATTTGATTAGCTTTGAAAACAGTTTTTAGAGAATATGCACGTATATTGCTTTCGTTGGGGTCAGTCAAGTCCATTTTACAAATTATATGATATCTATGGCTCTCTGTACTTTATTTTTGTTATTAATCGTCCATAAGCAACTAGCCTACTTCATGTGGCCATGTTTTATTCATAGAAACAAACTTCAGTGGTTACGGTTGGTTTGTCGGAAACTAGGTTAACTTGGCATGAACAAAGTGGGTGAGCATCATTGCTTTGTTGTTTCTCATGTGTTAACCTTTTGTTCTAACCTTAACGATTAATCATTTGGCAATTGAAATCTTCTGGAGATCTTCTGATATCAAGAGAGATGTACAGTGTGGATTGGTTACTTTCTTATAATTTCTCCTCTCAGATAATTTTCCGGTCAACAGACTATTTCTTTCTTCAGTACACTTTTTTATTCTTTACATGGATGATAGTTCTCTATTAATGCTTCTAATCGCTACTGAATCTTCAGTTAGCATGCTTTCAGTGCTACAGATCAGGAGAACTTATCCATATGGTTTTCCTGCTGTTAATAGTTTTTGCAAGCGTATGGCTGAAACGGGAGTTTGAACTTATTGTGAAACTGACAAGAAAATGAAGTAAATGAAGGCACCACAAACGGAAGTGAGTTGTTAAAACCTTTTGTTCGGAGTTTATATTCTGTGTATATGTTGTGAAGCCCCATTAGTTACCAAGTGAAGTTTAGAACACTATGTAAGCTTGTTATTCATGTTAAGGAGAATATGATGCCTAATATGCAGTATTTGCAGCGTTCTGGTGATTCTGAGAAACCATGGATTCCATCGAACCTAGATGTTAAAGGTTGTCCGGTCATGCTCCGAAAGTTCTTCTATTTGATCCTGAGAAAACTCTTTTGCTAAAGCTTAAGTATTTCAGGTTGCTTGGAGTTTCAAGGGAGGACCTCGCGAGAATTCTGGCTTTTAGTTCGGAGCTTGTGATAAGATGCTTGGAGAGACAGATCAAACCCAAAAAGTCTTTCACTGAATGTGATGCCAAATATTTGGTCTTTGAGATTGGTTATGCCCCATTCATGCATTTCTCTATTTTTCACTCATTGCACCACCGTTTCAGTGGAGAATCATGGAATTCAATCTTGAAAACTCCTCTGTGAATCCACTACATGCGTTGTGTCAAAGACTAAGTTGAGACGGAAATGAAATCTCGATGTTTTAAGGCGGAAGGGCTGGTCCAAGGATGATCTTGTCTCCGCTTTTACCGTCTGCAGTGTATGATTGTGTCAGACAAGAAAATATTGGAAGCTTGAGATTGACAGGATTGGTAGCTGAAAACTTGAGTTTGTGCAGTGCAATTTGGAGAAGAGAATTACTCGTATTAACACTAGTCGAAGAAGAAGAAGACATGCAGAAATGTTACAGAGAGCTTTTGGAAGAAAGAAAGAAGCTGAATACTATTGGTGTATTGCCGAGAATGAATCAATACAAGATACAGAGGGATATCCTCTATTTATACATGCATTCTTTCCTTCAATCGCAAGTATTCTAACAAACTAACTGTCACCCTTATCTTTCTACAATTCCAACTCTCTGTTACAACCTTGCTGATGTGTACATATCCGTCAACATCCCCCCTCAATCTCAGCTGGGTTTCCAAGCTTGAGATTGAATGAATGCTTGAGGAACGAAGGACCGTGCAGACCCTTAGTATGTCTGCGGTTTGATCTTCAGTAGGTGAGTATTGAACTTGCAAATCTCCCTTTTGAACCCTCTCCCGTACGAAATGATAATCTGTATCTAAGTGTTTTATCCTTGAGTGAAAAACAGGATTGGCACTTAATGCAATTGCAGATTTGTTGTCACAGTATATCACTGGAGGAAAGGGTAAGACAACTGCCATATCCCGAAGAACATTTCTAATCCAAGCAACATCAGCTGCAGTGTGTGCCAATGCTTTATACTCGGCTTCTGTAGAACTCCGTGATACAGAATCTTGCTTCTGTTGCAACCTTGCTGATGTGTACATATCCGTCAACAACCCGAAGGTGGTGGTCAGTTGTTGAAAGGATTGGTAGATGGAAACTTGAGTTTGGGTTATTTTTCGGATGTCTAAGGAGAAGTACATGTCGGAGAGATATGCGATCAGATATCGAAGTACCTCAATTGTCGAGTGTGAAGTACCTTAATCCCTTCCGGAAGTCATTTTTCATGGACCAACAATGTTGTACAAACAGAAGTTGTACATTAGTTGAAATTTTATTCTCAATATTTTAATAAGCACATGCGTAACATGTGTACAATTAATAGTATGTGATAAAGAGACGAACATTATCACCCAATAATACATTAGAGCATTTCCACCCATTTTGGTGGGTTTGGATCTAGGACTAGATTTATGGCAATTCTTATGCACAGCATATTATTTTTAATGTATAGTTTGATTATTTAATCATTATTGAACGGATGAGATCACTTTAAAATATGTGACTAACTACGTCGTGTGTACATACTTATAAAAATTTATATTGATATTTGCCACGTGTGCTCATTTAATATTTACCCATATTTATAAAAGATCTTGTTCAAATTTTCAACTAAATTTCGGTTGCTCTCGTTCAGTCATGTGTTGTTATCTTATTTTGCTATTGTTGTATCACGTGTTCTTATCTTATCTTCAATCTCATCTCCCAATTACCCCAAAATGTCATGATGCATTCTTCCTAGGGATGAAACTGGGGTTGGGTCAACTAGAATCTGCTCATACCCAACCCGATTTTGATCTCGAATTCGTTATACACTATGGTCTGATGATATTCATTTTCACTTGAAAGTGAGAGATCATAGATTCAAGTCTCGTGAATGGCCAACTAGATATCAAATTAGGTTGTCCATGCACATCGATGTACTAAAAAAAATTGTTAATTAACATGTTTGTGTTCTTATTGTGAGATTTAGTATACCCTTCCTCATCATATAGATATCGTTTGTTAAAAAAAAATCTCAAAAAACTAACTACAATAATTTGGTAATGAAAAACGTGGCAAACTACTAAGAGGGATTAGAGGTGAAATTTTTCATTATAACTGAAACACAGATAATACATTATTTATTTTTATATAAATAGTTGAGAATTTTATATTTTAAACTATTAATTTTTTAACACACATATTTCAGTATTTGCATCATAACCGTGTCCCTGCATGTGTTTCGGTCGCATTGAAAATCTCTCTTATTGAAGGGGGAATGTGACCATCCACCACCAAGGTTAGTAGTGGCCCCAGAACAATGGCAGTTTATCGTTGAAGGAGGGGAGATTTGAAATCACCGGATCGATCATGGTACTACTCCACAATTTGAAGAATCTCAGAGTACGGATTTCCTCGTTATATTGTTCATTTGCTTCAATAACCAAAAGCGTTGTGGTTGAAAATCTAAAACCCTCACATTTTGATTTTACTCTTCCAAATCACATACTCTGCAGAACTTCACCTCTGAAATCTCAGAAAATCAACACAATTTCACCGTCAATTACCTTGTAAACTCATGTGGGTTGTCCTAGGAAATGCAATTTCAGCCTCCAAGCTGCTCAATTTGCAAACCCCAGAAAAAGCAGACTCCGTTTTGGCCCTTCTGAGAAGCCATGGATTCTCCCAACTCCAGATCTCGAAGTTCGTTAGGTCCTGTCCAAAGACTCTTTTATCCTGTCCAGAGAAAACCCTTTTGACAAGGCTCAAGTTTTTCGCCTCGGTTGGAGTCTCAAGGGAGGACCTTGCAAGAACTGCGGCCGCCAATCCCTGTCTTTTGGCAGTAGCTTGGAGAAGCGGATTGTGCCCACTTACAATTTCCTCAGGAGTTTGCTTTCTGAGAAGAATGTTATTGGTGTTTTCAAGCGCCGGTCGTGGATATTCTTGGTTGATCACTGCAAGGATGTGGTCCCAAATATTGGGCTTTTAAGAGAACTAGGTATGCCTCAACCATCCATTTCTCTGTTGCTAGCTCATTACACTCATGTTGCGATGAACAAGCATAAAAGGTTCGGAAAAATTGTGGGTGAGGTTAAGGAAATGGGATTTAGTCTCCGAACTTCTACTTTTGTGTTTGCACTGCATACATTGTGTGGTAAGAGTAGTAAGTTGATATGGAAACGTAGTCGCAAGATTTTTATGAGTTGGGGTTGGTCTGAGGATGATTTTCTCTCCGCTTTCAGGAAGAATCCAGAGTTTACGATTGTGTCAGAGAAGAAACTAGTGCAGGTGATGGACTTTTTAGTGAACAAGATGGGATGGGCATCCGGAATGATTGCAAGGTATCCGTGGGTTATGCGTCACAGTTTGGAGAAGAGCATAAGGCCACGAAGTTTGGTTGTTAAGGTTTTGCGGTTGAAAGGATTGATAGATGAAAATTTGAGCTTGGGTTATGTGATGCACCCTCAGGATAGGCTCCTCGTGGAGAGGTTCGTGACCAAATTTCAAATTGAGGTGCCTCAGTTGTGGAATGTGTATCACGAGGTTAGCATATATGCCAGGTGAGGATGAAGGTTCACCCTTAAGATGCTGAAATGGAGCGTTAAGGTACTGTCACCTTCGACATGTATATGGATTCAGGTAACTGGAACTGTCTTCACGAAAGAGGAGGACAGAGTTGGGTTGGGCAGGAAAGGTCTCTGATCGCTTTTGGAAGGGTGACTGCATCCCGCTTGCTTGTCTAGGGAGATGTACTATCGTCTGCACTAGGCGTCCAGCTTAACACTTGCATATGTATAGAGATAAGTCAAAAGCATATGACATCCTAAGTAGACACAATAAGAGATTTATAATTTTTTAAATGTCAAATTTGCTGTTTTTAAATGTCGAATTTGCAATGGCAATCTTATGTGGTGGTGTCCAATTGCTGAATATTACAGAGTTTGTCTGAACAAGGATGCAATGCCATGATTTGCTTTTCTTATTACTTCTTAGTTACTGTTATTTCCTTTCTGCATTTTCGCAGTGCAAACGTCTGGAGAGACATTTCTCTTTCTTTAACGATGGTTTAGTGTTGAAATAATCCAGGTTATCGTGCACATCATCACCAGCCTGAATATTTGTGAACATCGGTGAGCAGCACATGTATGAAGACGTATGTACGTATATTTGCGCATCGGTTTCCAAGCTTATCAATCTTAAGCAATGGATTAGAGATGAGTTGTATGCTTAAATCATGTTAATCTCAGATAATTGTCCTCCTAGATACTAAATCTTCCTTCGTCAAAAGTGAATAATTTTGTTTAAAACGTAATAAATCCAACTCCAGCTGCACTATTTGGTGGGGAAAAACTTGAGTAGGCCATCAACCTTTTTTTCTCCGACCCCAATCTCCCTCAAAAACACACGTACTCGTTGGTTTGTTTTTTTGGTTAATTCTGTCCTGTTTGTCCACTTATGGCAACGTGACAACTTCTTATTAAATGACTTTATAAATCTGACTATGGAGCGGTCCTATAATTGAAGATTTTCTCCCATTTGCAAACAATTGAATAGTATGGTCGCTAGGCAATATTTTAGGCTCCTTGATAAGAAATGCGACTTATTCGACCAACATTTGTTGTAACAGACATATAAAGCGATTGAGTTTATCACAACTATCCCCCAAATGACAATATAGTTATATCAGGTACGTCACTTTACCGTATCTCAAATTATATTATACATTTTTTTTATTTGAGATACCATCATAAAGACGCATTTGATATGTCTGAATGTGTACACTTCTTATCAAGAAGCCTAAAACATTGGCTCCAACAAAAACATTGCATTTGTCAGTTGCAACTAACCATTCTTTTAAAAGCACAACCTCAACATGATACATAGCAATTATAATTATTTTCTTCCTTGTATTCGTGGATTGCTTGAAGTACTGTTTTGAACCACACCACAACTCCAGCAGGCTTGAATAAACCATATTATCACTAATCGATCAAAAATAGTGAATAATTACAGTGAGATCTCAAACTCCCCAGAAAAATGATTCAAACAAAGAATCCGACGCGCAATTCAGATACTCGTAAGAGGAATTCTGGAAAGGAAGCCGAGGCATCTGCACATACTCGTCCACAACGTTCAACTGCTGCTCATGAGAATCCTCATGAACATTTTGCTGTTGCTGTTGGCCACCGTTATTTGTCTCCATAAAACGCTCCGCGTCGGAGTCTCTTCCGGTGAGCTCCTGGACAAGTGCCCTAAACTCAGAGGCACTCGTCTGAACTTTCATGGGACTTGATATGTAGACAACTTTGACACCACCCTTTGATCTGCTTCTCTTGCTTTGCTTCGGGCTCTTCACGTTCACACCGAGCACGTCCATTGCCAGAAGTTTTTTGAAACTTAAAACAATTTACAGAGAAGATCCTCTGCGGATTTCGAAATGTTATATATATCAAAGAGTTTGAAGTTTGAAGTTCAAAGGAAACTGCGTACAAAAAGTGATGAGAAATGAGGATGAGTTTTGATAACCTAGTTTTGCCCTGCGGTTACATATATATATATATAAGGTAAGGACAGAGACGTTTGGGCTTTTTTGGGGTCTCATGGGTGAGCTTCTAGGAAGGAGAATGGAAGAAAATGGAAGGCAAAGCATAGATTCTTGTACTTACATGGCCCGCATGCTTATCGATATTTAAGGTAATGATGCGTGATGTTATCAATTCATTCATGTATTAGAATGTACGTATATTTGTTCATAGTATAGTCTAAATCTAAACCCTTTTCACATTCATCTTATAATAAAATCATGATCTTATAATATATGAATGGATAAATTATATTAAATATAAAGGATATGGAATATTTGGCTCGTACATGTAATGAGTTATTTTTCTTTCCATAACGACATGACATCAACTTACTATATTAAGAGCATCTTAAATGTGCTCGCTAAATGAGATCCTAGCTAAATTTTAGAGATGATTTTAAAAAAGGATACGAATTCTCCTACGAGCTTCTAAATCTAGGGAAAAAGGAGCTCTTAGTATTAATTTCCAATATTTTAATATTTTTCTATCGGTCCACAGTTGTTAAGACACCCCAAACTAGGGAAGATGATTGGAGATATTCTACTATAATAATTTGTCTTGTTCCTTATCTTTATTCTCGTCTAAAGATCATTAGAGATTCATAAGTGTTGAATAAATCAACAATTATGTTAACAAGTAATATCCTCATAATTAACTCTCAACTTGTTTGATTCATATAAATGACTAAACGGTATCTCAGTTGAATTTTTTTATAGATGATATTATAGAAGCTGATAAGGAGAATGAATGGGCCAAATCATAATGTTTGTGCCGTTAAACAATGTTATGTTGTCATATAATTAAGGAAAAATAACTCCATATATGTGAGAAACCAAATTAGAGTGCTTGATAAAAGGCTTTAATTGTCCTGATGATTAGGGTCATTTTCTTCTTGCGTTCCAAGTTCAAATATTATCCCTTATCTAATTGTATTGATTTGATTTATTAAGGCTGAGATTCAATGTAGCTAAGTAACGCAGCAAGACTTCGATAACAGTCACGTGCGCAGCCTCCTATGACTTGAATTCAATATTTGGTTTCGTGGAGCTTGAAATTTGAAGATGTGGGTGGAAGGGATTGGTATAGAGAGTAGGTTCGGCTTGTGGAAATGTGGTGGGTTAAGACTTGACCGACTAACATTTGGATTTATCCTTCTCCTTTTTGTTCTTTATTGGTTTGTTTTTGACTAATTATCTATCACGTGATGTTGAAAACTGATGATGGGGTGTGGTTTCCTTCTAATCATTATTAAAGATGACAAGTGATTATCATCAATAAAAAAAAAAACATTTAACAAAGATAATTATATTCTTTTGTTTATTGAAACAGATCTGTGACATTATTTTTTTACATAATTTGTTACACTAGATTCTATAGACCCACTCCGTGATGTTTTTTAACGATCGAACCATCTATCTTTTAGAACATCTTTCACAGATCATCCTTGCAAAAAAAAAAAAAAAAAAAAAAAAAAAGAAGACAAATCCAAAACCATTAAATCATTCATTTGCACTGAAAGAAATGGAAGAATACGGTCTTACAAAGAAACCATAAACTTTTATCCATTGGTCATATGGTTATTTGAGTAATTTTTTGTAGATATGATATTTAAGAGAATACTTAAAAGATAGAATGTTCAAATCATTAAAATACATTATAGAGTGAGCCTACAACAACTTATGTCAAAAATTGTGTAAAAAGAGTGGTGTCACCAATTCGTCCTCTTATATAATATAGATGATATATATATATGCATCATATATAACCAACAACAGGTAATTATGCAGATTTTCAATTTAGTGAGGTTGACTGGTAGTTTGCTCTCTCTTTTAGATTTAAGTTCGAGTTTCCGTATTTTCAATTTAGATAATTTAATATAAATATCGTTTGTATACAATGAAAAATTAATTATTATTATTTTTACTTGGTTGGAAAAATTCGTATATTACGTGGTAACTAAGGACATTACTATGGGGACACCTTAATGTTAAGTCGTATGTCTTCATCCAACAAAACACAATTTTTCGGCCACAAAGGACAAGTGGAAGCTTCAAGCTAACTTCATCACTCATAATTTTTAATAGAAAAAGTCTCCGTCGCAAAATTAGCTTTCCAGAACATAAGTGAAATTATATACAATAAATACTTACATCATAAGATAAGATGGGAGAGAAAAATTTGTGGATTGAAATAGACACCATGTTGATTGTTAACTATGTTTATAAGGCTCCTAATGCGGTCCCATAATTTTTTATGATGGATTAGAAAAATTGTTTCTGATGACTTCGTCAAATATGATTTATGTGTACACATTTATAAAGAAGGAAATCAAGTTGCAGATGCTTTAGGTTTTTTTGGGGCAGATAGTTTTTTTTTATTACTGGTGGTGGTCCACAATTTCAAATTTGTAGTCTCTGCTCATGCTCATGACCTTTTGTTTTTGTCCTTATTACCGTTTTTGTTGATCTTTTTTGTAATTGCAGGCCTTGGCATAATCCCCCCTCTGCATTATCTTTTTCGTTTACTTTCATTTATTATTAATAAAATTGGTGGAGAAGGAATGGGCCGATGATCTCTGGGTTCACTCATTCAGGGGAAGGTAGGTGCCTCATACATGACCATTGCCAAAATGCTAATCTCGCTTAATTTTCTCCATTTGAGAAAAAAAGCAAGCGCACATGGATATAACTATATTTTAAATATTAAAATTTTGACGTCTCGATAAAAATTTTAGAGTGAGCATGACAATTTCCTATCAAACTTCTCATGTATTGAAAATTTTCCTCTTTGGGTCTTGTTCAACTTTTTGTTATTTATCTATTAGCTATTCTGGTCAATTTTGTTATTTTATTTTACGTACTAATGAGGATCTTTATACTGTAGCTTCTTTTTTATTATTTTTTTCTGCTATCTTGGGATTTGTGATCCCAAGTAAGATCGGTTCAGGATCATGGGATCATTTTCTATCAGATAGGAAGGGTGATTGCATAAAATGTACTTCTAAGTAATTGCTCCATAGATTCTATATCTATCTATATGAAGAAGAAATCATGCAACGAAGGGGATTCTTATTTGTACAAATGGTTCTTTGAACTTGGAACGAGCATGAAGAAATTA